CCTGTCAAACACAACACTCGCGGCTTGGTGAGACACAGTTTACAAAACTACATTTATTTTAACACACTAGTTTTCTTTACAAGCAAACAATTTACTACAAATACTTAAAAGCTAACAATTTCTGTGTTCATCCCCGATGGGATATCCAACCGTCCTATCCGGTGACCGAAACCAACTAACTCCCGTCTCTCGATCTGGTCATCGCTTGACCTATGGTCGCCTAGCCCAAATCTCCCTCTCGCGCTGTACAGAAATCTACAAACGATCGGCGACTATCGGTAATACACTCTCTCGGGTCCTGCTATTATCGATCCCAGATGATGACGATCGCCGCAATTCCCTACCTCGTATGGACATCTCATCTGGCGCTCTCTCGACCGATCGTAGGTAATGGTGATGCTGTAGAATAGCCGTGGTTTGTTTCCTCGTTCTCGGTATTGTTTCTCTCAGCTATGCAGCAGAACAGGGTTGTAGTTTCTGGGTGGTTCAGTCCCAAACATCCTCACCCACCCAGAGATTCGCAAAATTTCTGAAAATAAAATAAGAAATCCTCTTCGACGGGATGGGAGTTTGGAAAAGGTATAGGATCTGGGTTTACGGCAACATTGCATCGGATTGATTTTCATCGTGGCTGTTTGGAAGTGGCAGAATGCAAATTTTCTCCACCGGACGTTTAAGTTCTCCAGTGGCAGTCTTTAACGTTACAACTCTTACTACGGTATCTGCTCCCGGGTGTACAGCGACGATTCTTCCCATTTTCCAACGCATAGGCGGAAGGTTATCATCCTTGATGACAACGAGCTTGCCTATCTCCACATGAACTGCCGGTTTCCATTGCTTGGTCCTAGCTTGCAGTTGACTCAGGTATTCGCGGCGCCATCTAATCCAGAAATGCTGTAATTTTTGCTGCATCAACTGATAATGATTCAGTCGATTCGGTGGAATGGTCGTGAGTTCAGGGTCGGAGAGGGCCTGCAGCGAAGAACCGACTAAAAAGTGTGCTGGTGTCAAAGGTTCCAAATCGTTTGGATCATCCGACATCGGTGTCAACGGACGGGAATTTAGACAGGCCTCAACCTGTGTAAGTAGTGTGGAAAAATCTTCCGATGACGCTGGGGTCTCTCCTATCACCTTGATGAGATGGTTCTTAGCCGACCGGACTGCTGCCTCCCAGAGTCCTCCGAAATGTGGCGCGCTAGGTGGATTAAAGTGCCACTGAATTCCGTCCTTAGCCAGTTCACTAGTGACTCGGTCATGATAGGTACGATCGCTCAGCAAACTGTATAGTTCTGCTAGCTTGTTCCGGGCACCGACGAAGTTCGTACCGTTGTCGGAAAAGATATCCGAACACTTTCCTCTCCGTGAAACGAACCGTCGCAAGGCTTGCAAAAACCGATCCGTCGAAAGATCGGATACCAGTTCCAGGTGTACTGCTTTCGTACAGAGGCAAATGAACACCGATACGTAGGCCTTCACTGCAGCTCGTCTAGGGGCTGGTCGGATATAGACAGGGCCGAAGTAATCTACTCCTGTTTTTGTGAACGGACGCGAAACATTGACGCGGGATGACGGCAATTCACCCATGAACTGCTGCATTGTGGACGGTTTCGTTCGGAAGCATTTCACGCAACGGTGAACTATCTCCCTGGCTACATTTCTTCCACCGAGTGGCCAGAATTGCAACCGGACTGCTCCCAGTAGCAGTTGTGGACCAGCATGTAGTAATCGCTCGTGAAAGCAACGGAGAATCAACCGGGTTAACTGGTGCCGTGCTGGTAGAACTGGAGGATGCTTGGTGCTCTCCAATTCTTCGGAATTCTTCAGTCGACCTCCTACTCTGATTAGTCCATCCTTGCAGACGAACGGGTGAAACCACCTCAACGGGGACTTCCTCGATACAAACTCTCCCTTCGATAAAGCCTTCCATTCCTCTACGAAGACCTCTCGTTGGACGTTCCGGAGCACTGCGTTTTCAGCAGCTTTGAGTTCTGCAGCGTTGAGAAATTCATTTGCGGGACGACTGGCTGCTGGTATTCGTAGGAGTTTTATGAGTCGAAGCCAGTATGCTGTTCGTCGAACCAAATCAGAATACGATCCGAACTTGCTGAGATACACTTCGTTGAATTCTGCTACGGGTGATACAGTACACGCAACTACGGTGCGACGTCTCTCTTCCTCTCCTGCTTCTGGGATTTCTTCGACAGCACCAGGCCATGCTTCTGGAGCCTTCTTCAGCCAATTCGGACCTTCCCACCAAAGTTCATTGTCGACGATATCTTCGGGTGACACTCCACGCGATATTAGGTCCGCTGGGTTGTCTGTACCAGGCACGTGTCTCCATTGCCATCCCTCCGTTAGCGTTTGAATTTTTGCCACCCTGTTGGCAACGAACGTGGTCCATGTTGCTGGCTGTAGATTCGATCAAACGCAGCACACATGTTGAATCTGTCCAGAAGAAAGTCTGAACCGCTAACCGAGTAGAATCCTTGACCTTTTCGTATAACTGGGCCGATAAGAGCGCACCACAGAGCTCTAATCGTGGGATAGACTGGCAACGGAGTGGAGCCACCTTGGATCGGGATGATAAGAGTCGAACCTTGATTATCCCGCTGGAATCCTGACTTCTTATGTAGACGCAACCACCATACGCCTTATTCGAAGCGTCTGAAAAGCAGTGTATTTCCACTAGTACTGCCTTGGGAATGATGACACAGCGATCGACTCGAATTTCATTCAACAATGGGAGTTTTTCGTGAAATTTCCGCCAATTCTCACCCACCATAAAAGGTACTGGTTGATCCCAGTCCAGCCGATTGCCGGTCTCGTCTTGCAACGTCCAAAGCTGCTGCATGAAGATCTTGGCAGACGAAGTCGTGGCACCAATCAATCCAAGCGGATCGAACAGCGTTGCGATTAGTGACAATATTCGACGCTTCGTCAACGGGACACCAGGTTCTATCGGAGGAACTGTGAACTGGAATCGAAGGGTATCGGTAATAGGCATCCACGTTAGTCCTAACGTTTTGACGGATTGATCAGAATCCAGGTTGATTCCTTTAGGGTCTCGAAGAGCCAGGTTTTCTTCGGGTACGCCTTCCAGAACTTCGGGAACATTGCAAGCCCACTTTCGGAGCTTGAAACCACCACACAGCATCATCTCGGTCAACTGGTTTCTGAGACTGATAGCTGCATCCACCTCGTCCGTACCGGTGATGACGTCATCCATATAGACGTCCTCACGAATTGCTCTTGCCGCGAGCGGAAATCGGTCTTCTTCGTCAGCAGCCAGCTGTCGGAGAGTTCGTGTTGCCAGAAATGGTGCGGGTTTGGTTCCATACGTAACGGTGTTCAGTTCGTACACTGCGACTTCCTCGTCCGGAGAAAAGCGAAATAATACGGACTGGAGTGGTCGATCCTTGAGCCACGTAAGGATTTGTCGGAACATCTTCTCGACGTCCGATACGAGGAGAATCTGCTTCATCCGACTGCGTAGGATAATTGACCTCAAATCTTCCTGCACAACTGGCCCTACCAGAAGCACATCGTTTAAGGACACTCCGGATGACGTTTTACACGAGGCGTCGAAGACTACTCTGACCTTGGTGGTGGTACTCGTCTCCTTGACCACCGGATGATGGGGAAGATAACACCGTTTGACCGGTCCCTGCGTAGTTTCTTCGACCTTGCGCATGTGTCCCAGTTTCAGGTACTTGTCCATGAATCCGATGTATTGTTCCCGTAAGTTGGCGTCCCTTGCCAATCTCCGTTCCGTTCCGAGAAGACGTCGGAATGCGATGTCCCGTGCAGGGAATCAAAATGAAAGATTCAGATAAAGATAATGGCATTCTCATTTTGGTTACACTCATGATTAGTACACATCCATAAATCACAATGGACAGTTCTGGTAACGATAATGCGATTATCATTTGTGTAACAGATCATGATCATATGAAATAGCGATAATCTCAGATCATCATCATCAGCTGTCGTCACTGAAAATTCCCCATTTAAGACAAGGCTAATCAAACCCCTATAATATGTGAATTTTCGGAATGAGGATGACGTATAGAGATCGAAAATCGATGTTTGCCGCCATTATGAAATCCAAGATGGTGGCCATTGATTTAAGAAAAACTGTCGAAAATTGATGTCCGCCACCATTTGGAAATCCAAGATTACCCTGCAATGTGGGTATTTTCGGAACAGGGATGGCATGCAGATGTAGAGAATTGATATCTGCCGCTATTTGGGAATCCAAGATGGCGGCTATTGATTTTAGAAACAACTTTTCCCTACAATGTGGGCATTTTAGAAACCGGGATGACGTGTAAATGTCAAAAATTGATGTCGGCCGCCATGTTGACTACACAGCAAAAAAAGTTGTTGAATATTACATCAAAACTGCTGCAACCAGGTCAATCCATCGGCTGTGTAATATCACATTGTACGATGTACATCGATTTTGCGAACAAAATTACATCCATTGATGTAATATTGCATCTGCTTTTTGCTATTACATCATTATTTCATACATCAGCTTGAATTACGTTGATCGATATTACATTTTTTTTGCTGTGTAGTTTATTTGTCAGTTCTATCTAAAACCAAAGGCCGCCAAATTGGATTCCAAAATGGCGGTTGACATCGATTTTCGACATCTACACATTGTTCCAGTTCCAGAAATACGCATATATTGTAGGGTATTTGACAGTTTTTTTTTCCGAAACCAACGGCCGAGATGACGGATTTCAAAATGGCGACCTACATGGATTTTCAAAATATATGTGTCATCCCTATTCCAAAAATATCCGTATTATAGGGTATTTGAACTATAGAACAACTTTCCCGAAGACAGCAAGTTCCTACATTTTGAGATACATTACAAAGTGATTGTTATCATATCAGTAGATTATCGTTTTTGTTGCTGATCATGCTGTGTAACACAAATGATAATCCATGATCTTACTGTACACTGATCATGATTCCGTTAACTAGTATTTTTATCGTCGGTAAGCATCGGAAGATAGCATTTTCTTGATTCCCTGGTCCCGTGACTCGCCCAGGTTTGGAAGAACGTCTTCGTTTTTGGGTAGGGGAACAGTATAACGACCTTCTGGACCTCTTTGAACTCCACGTTGAAATAATTCTTCACACTTTTTCTCCTCCAGAGAATAAGCGTCCGTGAATTCCACCTCCTCGCACGACCAGAAACGTGCCATCAACTTTTCCAAGTCCTCGGACGTTGAGAAATGGCAGTTGACTTGTAGGGATTTGATAGGAGTTGAACAGCCACCACATACTACCCAACCGAACACCGAGTCTGTAAGGCTTGGTAGATGTTTGCCGATTGTAATCCTTCGCCCCGATTCGAAGAATTCGAAGAAAGCCTCGATGCCTAGCACCATGTCGACTTCCTTGGACGTGAAGAATGCAGGATCCGCTAGCTCAATTCCATTCGGTAGAATCCACCCTTCCGTGTTGATTGAGGTTGTAGGGAGATTCGCATTCACCTTGGGTAGCACCAAAAACCTCATATCTCGTGAGAAATCCGAGATTCGCGAACGTATGACCGCTTGGACTGTATGTTTGACCTTGGTAGCCCCTTGTCCTATACCAAGGACCGAGACGTCGACCTTATTCCTGATTACCTTCATCCTTTGGGTTAACCGTTCCGATACGAAGTTGCTCTCTGAACCGGAATCACGAAGAGCACGGGCGTGGTACCTTGAACCAACGTCGTCCTCGACGATGACTACCGCTGTCGCTAAAAGGACTTGCGACGTGAGTTGATTAGACGTACCGCATACCGAAACGTCAGTGGCTGCCACGTTAGCCAGTTGGATTGAATTGGAACCTGAGGAGCCTTGGGATTCCTTGGAATTTGAAGGATGATTGCCCCCAGCAATCGCTGCGACCGTTACAGTGTGATCCTTCTCCGACTTGAAGCAAACCAGGGTGTGATGACGGTTCTTGCAGATCCGACAGGAAAATTTGGATTGGCAATCCTTTGCCTGATGCCCCGATCGAAAGCAATTCCGGCAAAATCCTTGAGATTTCAGTAGAGAATCCCGATCCACCACAGAAAGTCTTTGGAATGCGGAACATTGGTATAGAAGGTGGTTGTCCTTACAAGCCACACATCTTCCTCCTGACGATTGAATCGAATTGTAGCTTGCCTTGATTGCTGAAGCTTTCGGTTTCGGTGGTGGTTGTTGCTGATGGATGATCTTGTTGTCCGTCTGCCTAGATGGAAGGGATTCCAGTACTTGCATTCGCTGACGCAGAAATTCGGTGAGGTCTGTCAGTAAATCCATCTCCTTGTTGGTCGAATATTCTTCCCATGCTCGACGAGTTGATGGATCCAGTCGCATCGTGAGCAGATTCACCAATAGGAGATCCTTGTACTCAGCAGGTTCCACGATTTGATCAAGTGTTTGTACGACTCGGTCAAAACCTTCCACCAGATTTCGTAACTCAGCAACAGATTCCTTGGAGAGGGTCGGAAGTTTGAAGAAAGATTGGACCTGCTTCTTCTTCAACAGCTTGTTGTTGTTGTACCTCTTTACCAGAATATCCCAAGCTATCTGGTAATTCGCCTTGGTAATTTTCAGTGGATCGATTAGGCTTATAGGTTCACGTTGAAGACACCCTTTCAAATAATGAAATTTCTCCACCTCTGGTAAATCAGTCCTCCAGTGGATGAGCGAGGTGAACAGGTCTCGGAAGCTCAACCAGTCATCGATGTCACCGTTGAATGATTGGAGCTTGATCTGCGGTAACCGGACATGACCGACAACACCTGACATTGATTGTTCATGGGCGGACTGTTCCAACTCAGAAGAAACGCGAAGGGCCTTGCTTTTGTCCAACAGGAAGGTTTTGGCTTCATAATAGCGATCGCTCAAGTGCTTGCGTAACTTACTATAATAATTCTCCTCATCCTCGAAGTCTTCATGAGATTTTAGCTCGACCAAATTCTCACTAAATCTCTCCCACAAATCATCGATCCGTTCTAATCGAACTTCGACTTGAGTACCGGTGGTTTCATCAGAAAACTTCTGAATGAAAGACCAAATGTCATCAAACGAGGATTTCAAATCGTCCAATTGAACCCTCAGTTGCTTCAGGGATGACAATCCTTTCCGGGTGGTGGGTGGCATTTTGATGTGATGTCGAACAATCGGTAAAGAAATTGGAGGTGTAGTATTCCGCGTGTAGTCTCCGCTTCGGCGGACATATACTGCTCGCTATTACTGACCTGGTAGAACAGGTAACTGTTCTGAATTCAAATTCGAACCAAAGTAGCAAAAGGTCCGATGACGTCACATCAATCTTGCCTCGGTAAGGATCACTCAATTTTAGGTTGAAGTTCACAGAAGAGGAGAATTTGGGGTGTAATATCCAGAGAAACCTAAGCCTCGGCTGGGCATATACTGTGGCAACCTACCTGGAGGTACCAACAGCAGTACCAATCCAAAGTTATCCAATTTCCACACCAAATTGGTATAAATGTTGCCTTGATCGCAGAAAATGTGAACTCCAGAACGTGTGTGTATGCAGGATGCAGTGCGAAGAGGAATAATGGCTATGTAGCAATCGTATGGCTAGCTTCGGTAGGACATATACCGTGCAACTAACCTGGAGACACTAACAGCTTAACCAACCAGAACGAAAAACCAGTCGAGGATGCAAATTGGGGTTTATCAGCAGACTTGCTCTAACGAACAATTCAATTGCAGGGCTTGCGTGGTGGTAATTGAAGAGGATGTACGGGAATTTCAATTAAAATCGTGTATTTCTGTATGCCTAGCTCGGCAGTGACATATACAATAAAGTTCACTCACCGGGAAGGGAGTAAATGGCCGCTCCCTCTTCTGCCACCGTCCGTTGCAATCGTCCTTCACAGCGAAAACCAGGGTCGCCGACTTATGCGGGATGCACAATCGTTCCTTTGCTGAGCCGTCTGCTGTAATCAGCTTGAATGCCGTCCTCAGTTCTCCGTATCACCGAAGATTCTCCGTTCCATGCAACGAATCCAATAGCATGCATCGAAAGGATGGCGTTAGTGTAATGTAAGAAATGCTTCGGCTAGACATACACCGAACTTATGAATATTTACCTGGCCAAAGCAGATATTTCTGCTGATTCGATGTTCTGCGTAGCTACGGATGACCAAGGTTTGATCCAAATTCAGCCAAATTTCTCTGCATGCACTAATGGTTCTCGAAAGTCTCCACAGCATTCACAGGTATCCACCGGTTTCACTCCTCAAAGGATTCCAAATTCCAAAATGGGTCCAATATTCGTCCACTTTCCTAAGCGGCGATGGCGCAATTTGTCCACAAACAAAAACCAGTGATTGTCCTATTATTCGCCTATTTGGTGATGACGGTCCACTAAAGGCTCCTTGGATCCGCGATGGCGACGAGCCAATTATGTCCTATCTCGCGATGGCGATTTCGCGCGAGTACGACGGCGCTCACTTGGCACTGTTGGTTTCGGTGTGGCGCAATTCCGTCCAACTGGTCCCCGGGTTAGGTATCCGGTTCGAAGGACCAAAATGTTGGATAGCCGGCTTACCTCCTTCGATGTGTAGTGGCAGTGGAGCATCCGTGCCGACTCCAACACTGTTGTTGTTGGTGTTTCCTTTGGGTTGCGGGAAATCCAAATTGTAGCTCGTATAAGTAGTATTCCGCTGGGATGATTCCAGCTAGTATTTTTCCTGTCAAACACAACACTCGCGGCTTGGTGAGACACAGTTTACAAAACTACATTTATTTTAACACACTAGTTTTCTTTACAAGCAAACAATTTACTACAAATACTTAAAAGCTAACAATTTCTGTGTTCATCCCCGATGGGATATCCAACCGTCCTATCCGGTGACCGAAACCAACTAACTCCCGTCTCTCGATCTGGTCATCGCTTGACCTATGGTCGCCTAGCCCAAATCTCCCTCTCGCGCTGTACAGAAATCTACAAACGATCGGCGACTATCGGTAATACACTCTCTCGGGTCCTGCTATTATCGATCCCAGATGATGACGATCGCCGCAATTCCCTACCTCGTATGGACATCTCATCTGGCGCTCTCTCGACCGATCGTAGGTAATGGTGATGCTGTAGAATAGCCGTGGTTTGTTTCCTCGTTCTCGGTATTGTTTCCCTCAGCTATGCAGCAGAACAGGGTTGTAGTTTCTGGGTGGTTCAGTCCCAAACAAACATCAAAACACAACTGGAAGGAGCAACGTAACATCATTTGATTTTCTCTACTGTATGTTTAACGTTTATATGACAGTGCAATTAACTATTTATTTTTTTCTTTCCAGGAGAGAAAATAACATTACTAGTTGATATATTTATTTGTACACTTGTAAATACTTATTTAATCATATTCGAAATATGAGCGATGAGGTAGCTTATTGTGTTTGCGAGTCCTCTGTTTAGGCTGGATTCATTGATTTAAATCTTGAAGTTTATTTTCAGCTCTTCGATGATGGAACATTTTTAGATTAATATTATATTGATTCATTTTTTCCAGCCTTCGTTCAGGAAAATACAAAAACATTGCAATGAATGATTACAATTGCATGAAAAATGTTAACTGTCCAAATAACCTAGATTATTCTGACTATTGATTTGAGTTTAACAATATTTTTAAAAGCATTCCATATTGCGTTAAGCCATTTAATGGTTCATAATAAAGTGTTTGTTTCAATTCCAATAAAATATCTAAAGTTGAAATCAGTTGAATGCATTGAGGTTAACTAAAATCGAGCTTATTTGTATTTTGAAATACTTGTTTATTTTACTTTCATTATATTTTATATACATTATGGAGGTTCCAATTTACGAACCAAAACGGGGGTTTGTAAATCGAATTAGTGCGTAAAAAAAACCTCGTTATTTGGGATTTACTTCGTAAAAAGAAAACTCATTATTTGGGATTTACTTCGTAAAAAGAGGTTTTTGAAAATATTGTCAAATACCCCACAATATGGGTATTTTTGGAATCAGGGAGACGTGTAGGGACCGGAAATCGATGTCTGACACCATTTTGAAATCCAAGATGGCGGCTTCCGGTAACGTAAAAACTTGGAAATTATGTCAAATACCCCACAATATGGGTATTTTTGAAATCGGAGTGACGTGCAAGGACCGGAAATCGATGTCTGACGCCATTTTGAAATCCAATATGGCGGCTTCCGGTTACAGAAAAACTTGGAAATTCTGCCAAATACCCCACAATATGGGTATTTTTGGAATCGGAGTGACGTGTAGGGACCGGATATCGATGTCTGACGCCATTTTGAAATCCAATCCTGCTGTTAAATCGACATCTTTCGGAGATGGAGTCCCTGCCTTTCTTCAACACTCTCATCTTTCCCATAAATCCTGCTCAAATCTGCATTCCTGATGTTAAATTGTTGTGTTAACAACACTGGCAGCTACCTCCTCAAGTCCTGCAGAACCCATCCGTAGGAATTATTCACCAATTCAAGCGTAACTATTCAAACCGGCTTATAGGATTTTTGTAAACTATCACTTCAATCGACGATTTGTGGCAACTGCTAGCTCACTCACAGAAACTAAGAACACCAGCTAGTAGAGAAAATATCCCTACCTGATGATGGTGTTTGTTTGCGTGGATGAGTTAGCAGTTAAGACAAATCGTCGATGGAATTGATTATTTACAAAAGCAGATACGTCAATTTGAAAAGTTCCTTTTGAATTATACATTGATCGAACAGAGGCACCTACAGTTGATCGATAATGTTCAGGGTCAAACTGACGCAGGATATGGTCAACCCAAGTAACATTGCAAGCTTTATCGAGGTTTTAAAACGTTCTACAAGTCCAATTCATGGTCTACAGAACCCTCATAAAACCAAAATTGTTACTTGGAAGCCTTCACTGGTGGAATTTTTCGGCGTCAGAAAAAAAGCATTTTTTTTTTTTCATTTGGTGAATGGAAAAGGTGACTACGGTAAACTTCTTCACACGATCTGTCGCGCATATGGTTAACATTGCACACGCTGTAACGCATCGATAGAGACACTACACCTCAAATACAGCGAAGACTAACGTTTAATGAACTCCTACGACCAACACTGGGAAACATTGAGAAAAACCCTAGAATATTATTATAAAAATTGTTCATTAACTTCATCACTTTTTGTTAATAACGTTATCACTATAGAAGATGTAAATGCTCTTGAATTCTATCTTACTATAAATGTAGATTGTTACATTAGGCGTTAGGCAAAAATAGTCCAAAGTTATTTAATAACATATCGCTTATCAACTAAACCTCCACGGCCAACTTCCACGGAACCATTTGAGGAGTCCAAAGAAATTCCTCCCTTCCAATAATCATTCATGGCTCCCATCGAGCCGATTGAAAAGCTCATCTAAGTTTGATAAGTTTCTTCGTCAAATTGTTTACTGCTCTCAATTCAAACAAAAGTGGACCCCCCAAAGCGCACAACAATAATCATCATCGGGATAACTTCATTGTCTCCCGTCGAAGGATGGTTCTTCATCTGTTTTTCACCTCCCAAACGTTCGGCTTGTATATTTTATTTCTTGATTGGATACAACTCAACAGTAAGTTTTCCAATTCAAATCGACATGATGGTTTCTCTCTGACGTGAATCGTTTTTGGTGCCCGTGAAATTGCCCCAAGCTGTTTCGATGCACACCTACCAGCCCTGCCATCCGATCAGAACTTCTCGTTTATAGCTTTTCCCATTCACCACAAATGAGCTAGAACCTATCCGACACGGGCGGCAGCGTGAACTAAGGAAGCGAGAGTGATAAAAACGCCCCTCGGTGCCGTAAACGAAGCGCCGCATCGTCATCGACGTCGTCGGTTGGTGCGAGTGTGGCTCAAATTTGCACCACATACACCTTCCCTCGTAGTCAAATAGTGGTTGGTAACCAGGAGGGGGTAAGCAAAAATGTTCCTCCAATTCGACTGGCTGCTCCGAATGGTTTTTCTAGCCCACACACCCACACACACACACATACATTGCACTCTACCTTGGGCTGTCTGGGCGTTTTGGGACGCACAACCAACGTGGGAGCGCCCCGAAGGAGCAAAAAAAATGTGTGCGAAAGTAATCTCCAATAAAATTTGATGGCAGCAATTTTCGAGTGA